TTTCTTCTCTGCCGCCCCCGCCCTCACCCCGTCGTCCCTCTCCCCCCCTCCCTCCCCCCCTCCCCCGCCCCCCTCCCCCCCTCCCCCTCCCCTCTCCCCCTCTCCCCCTCTCCCTCCCCCTCCCCCTCAGCATTAGATCCTCTAGAGTTGGAGTTATAGGTGGTTGTGAGCCACCCAGTGTGGTTCCTGGGAACCAGACTTGGGTCTTCTATAAGAGCACTATGTGCTCTCAACCACTGAATCATCCCTCTATCCCCATAGAAGAAAACTTTGAGATGAATCTTTGAACTAGGAGAACTCGAACCCACAGTTGAAGTGACAACTCTGCTGAAATAGTATGGCTATCTTACCCTAACACAAGAGCCTAGAAAGTAACTTCTTGGGTATTAGTCAAGGAGTTTCAGTGGTCTTGGGACTTTTTAAATCTCAAATCAGTCTTCACATCACATAATTTTATAGCATGGTATACATTCGTATGCGTAGTATACATCTCTGGGCAGATGCTAAGACAGTGCTGCAGTCATGCTTGTACCTTACCCAGTTCAAGTCTTCATGTGACACTACTTGTTATAGATGGAAAACTGGAAGACTTTGAATACTTTTGAACAATAAAAACCCTTGTTCCTACTTGCCACATTTCACTTGGATTACCTAGATTTTGATAAGAGGTACTACCTTAGGGAGAAATGTTCTCATCTGCTAGCATCTTCCAGGAAGAGCCTCCTTCTTAAACTTTCAAGAGGCATTTTAATGAGGGTTCAGCCTCCCGAAAATTAAGTGATACTTGAAAATTTCTGTGGTTTATGGTCCATCTAAAATAGTATTTTAATTTACATTAGTTTGTGTATTTAGCAGAGGGTATTCATGACTCATTTAGTTTCCCCCCTGAGGGGAGGACAAAACCATTTAAAACAGATTTGTCAGGATAGATAATTGTACAACATGAACTGAAGCTTGGACTCTTTGGAGCACAGGCTCCAAAGTAGCCTTGGACTTGACCCTAGATTATTTTACACAGACTTTCTCCTTTTTAGTGGACTTTTGTTCTTGTTAACTTTTATTTTTGTGCTGAGCAGTGGACCATGAAAATATCTACTGGGGAGGTTGGTGTTATTGGTTCTGTACATGATTTGTCTGGGTTCCCTGCTTCCACTTCTGCTTCACTCCCTTTTTTTATCCTCTTTTTTAAAAATCTTTTATCTCTTTTTTTAAAAATTTGTTTTATATGTACAATTTGATTCCCATTGTTTATGTACACTTCACTGAGTTAAAGGGCACCTCGAAACTTGGTATGATCTTTTTCCTTACTTGAGAGTCTTTTCTCCATTGTTATGACCTGCTATGTGTTGCCACTTGACACTGCATAAGACAGGTTACTAAGAAAATCACTCATCTACTTACTGGTGGGCCACAGTCTGTTGTATCTCCTTCCTGTTAGTCAGGAAGCCCTGCTACAGCTGCTCTGTATCGTATTGCTAGAGGACTGTAGTTCTGACCCAGCAGGTCTAGTCCAGAACCGAGAACCTCTTGCTGTGTCTTATATCATCTCGATTCTTTTCAAGGTCCTGTATCTCGGAAAGGATATGACACAATCTGTGTTTAGTCTAGTAGTGGTCATATATAAACATAGTAATTCATCTTTTAGGTGGCAGCTGCCACCATTGTACTCATACTCCATCTGGCATCATTTTGAATGTTACCTCAGACTTAAATCACAAAGGAAGATACCCTGTTGAGTTTGAACAATTGATGAGGTATAGTACATAATAGACTACTTAAATGACTTGGGATCCATGGCATCGAGCAGATGTAAAGAACTGTAAGTAAAGAGAGAAGACATGCACATATAAAAGACGTGCATATTCAATGGTCTTGAATGTGGTTCAATACTGGCCCCTTCCAACAGATTCTTGGAAGCTTTGTTGTGAGTTAGAAAGCACCAGAGAAGCTTCACATCCTCAAGGGCCCTAAAGTTCAATGCATACTAGCTTAGTACGTTTAGAAGAAACTAGATTTGACCTAACTCTTTTTACCAGGCTTCACTTTGGTTCACCTTCTGTTCATACCCAGGCTGTCATCCTATAAGTGGTAACAGCCGAGTAATGGCAGCCGCTTCTTTTATAGAGAGGCGGGAGGACCTTCGAGGAGGATTTATGCTTTGCTTTTTGGATGATGGAGCAGGAATGGATCCGAGTAAGTGGTTATATGATGATTGTTTCTTTTGTGGAGCATAACAATTTACTATTAAAGTTGCTTTTTTGTGACCTCACTGTTGTGGCTAGAAGATCCACCTGGGGACTGAAAAGCCTGTTGCAACATCTCAGGCTTAATTACACTGTGTGTTTGCCGGGTCTTGTCCTAACATGGGAGGTGTTCGGATAACATGAATGTCAACCTGAAATCACTTAGATTACCATTCTCTTGACAATGTATTTATCAGCTTTTGCAACATCTTGGAGCCATAACTACTGAGGCTTCTTCCCCTGAGACTGTTTCCCATGTTCTAGTAAAACACAGGACACTGTGGTGGTATTGATGGGCCAAGCAAGGATTACCTTCTTATGCCTCATGACTGAATTTCCTTGGAGAGAGGTTTTGCTGGCATATAGCCATGCTTGTATTTAACCTGACTCATATTGCTAACTTTGAGAGGTCTGAGAAAGTAATGCTAACTTTTTATTTTCTCTTGTCTTCCATTTGAGGTGATGCTGCTAGTGTGATCCAGTTTGGGAAGTCAGCCAAAAGAACTCCTGAGTCCACTCAAATTGGGCAATATGGCAATGGATTAAAATCGTACGTATATTGGAAGCCTGGCATAGGGCTAGGTATAAAATCATATGGTACATTCTTGGTGTTCTTCCTTTTGTCCTTCTAGGACTATAAATCTGAAGCAATAAGAGAGTCAGAAAGCAGTGGTGATTGGGGGTAGTTAACCAACTGTCTAGCTGAATTTGCTCAATATATTGATTAGTATGAATATCTAAAACATTCTCTAGAGCTATCTCTTTCCTCTTATTGAATATTATTTATATCCTGTTGTTGAGGTTGTGGGTGGTTCTCTTCTGGGGCTGGGGCATATCTGAGATGGCAAGGGAGTCACTTCACAGTGTTATCAGTATGCTTGTGCTAGGCACTGGGATCCAGAGTGAATACAAGAGACACAGGCTTTCCCTCCTGGAGTAAACTGTCTTATGTGGACATCTTGCAAGGCCATATAACAGGAGATCCCTCTAATACCTCGGGACCTTGCTTTCCAATTGTTTAGTGCTTGAAGTGTGTTGTTCTGGTTTGGCGTAAAGCCCTGAGAAAAGGGATTTCTATTTCTGAAATACTTAACTTCCAGCTGCACATACCTTTTGGTGGAATAAGATTTAGTGGAATGGGAGTTTGTGTGAATGGAATTATGAGTCATGTTCCAGTCTTGCTGTGGAAACAAACGTGTTGTTTTATTTGAGAAAAGGTTGTGGTTTGATCTGTCAATAGCCTTGATTGGGCCTCAGGTGTATTGTGCTTTGGGTGTGGAGAAGAGCGTGCTTTGGGTGTGGAGAAGAGCGTGCTTCCAAAGAGTCCAGGGGCTTGGTTCCTGGCCTTTGGTTTCTTCTCAGGACAGAAACCAAATGTTAATAATAAGCACTTTTATTGACGATATGAACCAGGTCTTTCTGATTTGAAAATGGAAGTGACTGTCCATTTCACTTTGGTCAGCAAAGGTTCAGATCTTAATCCAGCCATTTAGTTACTAAAGTTGTAACTTCTTGTAAATGATCATACTTATCAAATAGTTAAGGATCAAGTGCTACTACTGCTTTGAGAGTCCCTAGTTTGTGATCAGTCACAGTGGGAACTTTCCCCAGAGGATTCTGAAAAGGAAATCTAAGACCTATGAAACTGAGGTCTCAATAGTCCTCTCACTTTTGCAGACTCAGCTTTAACTTTTTGATGTTTCTTAAACTAGAAAATGAGGTTCTAACTTTTGATATTCTCCCTCAGGAGCCAGTAAAACATGCCTTAGAAAGTGCTTAGAAGACTGAGAAGGAACTTGTACAGAGTTAGAATTCAGTTATCAACATGCTTAGGAGGTTTTTGTAAAGGTTTCATTGAATTGGAGCCATCTAGTGTTCAAAGTTCAGAAGTTAGATGAGGTGATTTATGGTGAGCATAGGATTGAACAAGGAAGGTGGTGATTTAGGTTTTCTACTAATTAGACCCTATAATCAGGATCAAAAACAGAAACAAACAAACAAAAAAAGAGGTGTGAAGAAAGTTTTGCCAAATTTGAGTGAGGGCAGTGCTGTTCACAAGCTGTAGGGAAGAAAGGAATATACTGAGATTTAAGGAAAATGAGTCCTGTCATCAGGAAAGAGAATTGACAGCCCTGGGGGTGTCTATGGAGTATCTTGGGGGGTTTTCACAAGTACTTGGGAAATGGCATGTGACATTGGTTTGTAGGCCTGGTGTGCCAGGCTGGAGTGTATGTAGAGATTAACAGGCTCCTTACCATTGTCTTCCCTGGGGGCATTGTAAGGACTAATGAGATAATAGCTATAAAACTCAGAAGCTGCTCAGAAAAAATGGAACTAAATAGCCTCATTGTTGAGTAGATAGTCCTTCTGCTGCTGTTTCATACTTCTGCCCTGGCCTGTGCTGCCCGGAAAAGCCTGTCTCTACCTGTTCTGTAGAAGAATTAACATGGCCCAACCGGAAGGAAGCCATTGATTCCATTTAGACTTTTGCCAGATGAGTTTTGTTTTCCATTGATTCTGGGGATTGAATCCAGGCTCTTGCACATGCTAGGCAAAAGTTCCACCACTCTGCTCTATGCCAAGCTTCAAACTTTTGCCTTGAAGACAAACTCAAGGTTGTAGAATAAGCTCAAATAGCAAAGCAATTCTGAGACAGAATGGTTAGAGTTACTGGACAAGGATGTAGGCCTTGATCTTCAAAGATCACGTTAGCATTTGTATTTGGTAAGTGTTACAGTCATACTGGTTTTTGAAAGACTGTGAGACTCGTCTTTTGGCACTTCTTTTGACAGTGTGACTTTTTTTTTTTTTTTTTTGGTTTTTCGAGACAGGGTTTCCCTGTGTAGCCCTGGCTGTCCTGGAGCTCACTCTGTAGACCAGGCTAGCCTTGAACTCTCGAACTCAGAAATCCGCCTGCCTCTGCCTCCCAAGCGCTGGGATTAAAGGCGTGCGCCACCACCGCCCAGCCAGTGTTACCATTTGATGAGTGGACAGGAAGGTATTTTGTGTTAGTGAAGGAAGGACAGGACAGGAAGACAGTATGGCCACAAAAGATAATGATGAGTTCAAGGTGTCAGCTGCAGGAGTGAAATTTGATAACATCACATAGGAGGACCCCATGAACTTAGAACTCAAGCATGTTCATATGGTAGGGTTGTGGCAATAAGCTAGGGAGGGAAGCTAACCAAGGGCTTGTGGTCTGAATGAATATATTCTAGAGGGATTGTGAATAACCCAAAACCCTTGTATGGAAGGAAAGTTTGCTCAAGGAAGTTATAGGTTATAGACTAAGGAATTAGAGACCCTTAAGAAGGCAAAGCAAGGAGTTCTGGCTGAGTGGGAGGGAACAAGGGCTGTTGGGCCTGGGGTATTGGCAGTCTTGAGGAGAGGTCTCTGATCAGCTTCAGTTATGCCTGGAAGGTGTGTGCTCCCTTTCAGATGAGCCTTGAGACCTTTGGACTAATCTGTTCTGTTTCCCTTTCAGGGGCTCAATGCGGATTGGGAAGGATTTTATCCTCTTCACTAAGAAGGAAGATACCATGACCTGCCTCTTCCTGTCTCGCACCTTTCATGAGGAAGAAGGCATTGATGAAGTAGGTTTTATCCTTGTGGCCTGAGTTGCTACTTGACATTTATTGTTTTTATCTGTGGTTCTGGGATCCTTGAAGCTGTAGAATTGGAGCAGGTGCCTGCTATTACAGGATGAGATGGGTGGATCCATTGGTTGAAAGGTGGTAATGCAGATAATACCTTTATGTGAGAGGAAGTATAAAATCTCAAGGTACTTCAGACAGTGGCTGTTCTGTTTCTGAGAATGAGACTATGACGTGATAAGAAATAAGAGTTGGATTTGAAGCTTTTCCATATATGCAGGATACTGCATTTCTGTGGAGGGTGTCTTCTTGGAGAACTGTTATCAGAGCAGATATTTTGGGCTTCCCTAACTGATTAAAAATTGTAGCTGTGGTAATAATAAAACATCAGTGTCTTTCCCCTATTATGATTATTTTATGGAGTATGTTGTGAACACATTTTCATTTTGAGGAAGTGTGTTGATCTAACTTATATCAGAAACTGTGAGTCAGACCTTAACCAGGTGGTAAAGCAAGTACGTATATGGAAAACATCAGTATGATCTTTGTTAATAGCGCTTTCCACTTGGTCTTATTAACAGATTCTTCCTTGGCCCTGTAATTATTACTGTCCTGGAAGACAGGCTTAGTAATAAATCTTAACTTCTAGAATATATTGGTAATAGGGGCTGGCAAGATGGTTTGGCAGTTAAGAGCACTGGTCCCAGAGGACCAGGGTTCAATTCCTAGCACCCATATGGCAGATTACTACTGTCTGTAACTTCAGTTCCAGAGGATCTAATACACCCTCTGGCTTCTGTGGACACCAAGCATGCCTGTGGTGCATAAACCCACATGCAAGCAAAACATCCTTATACATTAAAAAAAAAAATTGTGTGAGCTAAACAAAAACCTACCCGATTCTCTTTGTGGTTTGGTGGCTCAGACTGAAGAGCAGCTTTTCTCTTTTGAGACAGGGTTTAACTATGTAGTTCTGGTTGGCTAGAACTTGTTATGTATACCAGATGGCCTTGAACTCACAGAGATCCACTTGCCTTTGCCTCCTGAATGTAGCAATTAAAGGCATATGCCACTGTGTTTGTCAAGAGTGAGAGTAGGGAAAGTCTGTCCAGTGTCCTTTTAGGTCTGAGTAATAGAGGCTTGAGAGGGACCTATATAGAAAAAAATTAAAAGCTGTCACTTAAGTAGATAGTCCACTAGAGAATTACAGTTTGTTTTTCTCTGCTGGTTAGCAGTGATTGAATTTGTACTAGTCCTGTTGCGATCTGAGCATAAATTTGTGGCAAACTAGTTGATGTTAAAATGGAAACCTTTTCCTACCATTTTCAGTTATTCAATTAGTGGATTTTTTTTTTCATCTACTAGATGAGGTTCACCTTATTCTGCATATTTGGAGAGAGATACAGTGAGGCTGTAAAGAGCAAACCTGTTAGAGAAACTAGACAGCCTGGGCTGTGGTTCTCAGAAATGTCGTCTGGTCAAAAGAGTCTTGGAGTGAGTCAGTAAAAACATCCTTAAACCTCTGAGATTGGTGCTGGGGAGAGATATAGTCTTGGGAGAATAAGGCCAGGTTGAGCCCTTGGGACCTTGTTTGAGTGAGTGGGATTTTACTAAAGCAGTCCTAGTACCAGATTCTCTTTAGAAAGTCCGCATGGTTACTTTGTAGTGATTGGATTAGAAAGATTTGGGGTGGACCAGTCAGGAGATCTGTCTGTGGTAGCAAGCTGGGAGCTAAGAGAAATGAAGTTACCTATTTAGAGTGTGAGACTCTGATACAGTATTTAATGATTGCCCGTCCCCGCCGGCCTGGTGGCGGAGTCGAAGCGCAGTTACCCTCGGGACCGCGGATCATGTCGCTGCAAGTGGCGAGGAACGTGCGGGCTGTGGCCTGCAGCCTACGCACCGCCCTGGCTTCCTGCCCGAAGCGGCCCTGGGCGCCGAGCGCCGCCGCCGTCCGCTCGCTGCGCACCGGATCTGCTGTGCTGTCGGTGCGTAAATTCACAGAGAAACATGAATGGATAACAACAGAGGATGGGATTGGAACAGTGGGAATCAGCAATTTTGCCCAGGAGGCTTTGGGAGATGTTGTTTACTGTAGTCTTCCTGAAGTTGGGACAAAATTGAAAAAACAAGAGGAGTTTGGCGCTCTGGAGAGTGTGAAGGCTGCCAGTGAACTCTACTCTCCCCTGTCAGGAGAGGTAACTGAAGTCAATGAAGCACTTGCAGAAAACCCAGGGCTCGTCAACAAATCCTGTTACGAAGATGGTTGGCTGATCAAGATGACACTGAGTGACCCTTCTGAGCTGGATGAACTAATGAGTGAAGAAGCATATGAGAAATACGTGAAGTCCATTGAGGAGTGACCGTGGCACACCTCCACCTCCAGATAAAACTGGGATGGGACCTGCTCCATGCTTGTCTTAAACTAGTGGAGAATAGAGGACTTGAGATAACTTTTAGTGATACTGATGGAAAGACACTGGTCTCGACAGTGCTAAAGACCCACCCCCATCTTCCTCATGGATGCAGATAAACACACTGTACAGATTTTTGATAATCACCATACTAAGTATTTAGACTAGGGGTTAAGTTCTGGTGTTTAGAATTCGTAAGATCATCTGCAGTAAAAAGTTGTTATGAGGCTGGTTTTGGTGATGGACCACTGCTTAATCCCAGCACTCGACAGGCAGATGTTAGTTCAAGTTGGTCTACATAACAGGTTCAGACCAGCCACCACTACATGGTGTGACCCTACTCATAATTTCATAATTCAGGATAACAGTGGTGTATCTTACATAATTTTGTAACTTGCCTATATCCACCACCGGATTTGGTCAGAGACTTGGTGTCTTCTCACTGGAAATGCCCGGGAATGCAGGAAGTGCTGTACAGGGACAGATGCAGGAGAGTACTGTCTTGGTTTCACCATGTGCTGTGTTGGCGGCTGTTTTCCCACCGGGAAGCACTGGCTTTGCAACACCATGAGAAACAAATAAAACATTCATCCTCTTTGTTCAAAAAAAAAAAAAAAAAAAAAAAAAAAAAAAAAACAATATTTAATGATTGTTGAAGGGGGAAAATGAAGGGATTAGAGAGACTTGGAGGCTATGGTGTGGTGGTTGGAGGCCATCTGGGGCTGGGGAAGAATGGAAGAGGGGGCGTATGGAGGGAGGACAGTGTAAGTTATTTTGGGACATGCAACATGAAGTCTGTCTGGAGTTTGGGGGCAATATTAGCTCTAGGCCTTCCTTCCTTCCTTCCTTCCTTCCTTCCTTCCTTCCTTCCTTCCTTCCTTCCTGTCTTTCTGTTGTCATTGTGTTGTCTTCTTCCTCCCTCACCCCTCTTCTCTTTCCTCCTACATCCCCAGTCCTAGGCTCTGGAATTGTTAGTAGCAGATAACATCACTTAAAACAGAAAATGGGCTGGGTGGTGGTGGCGCACGCCTTTGATCCCAGCACTTGGGAGGCAGACTTCTGAGTTCGAGGCCAGCCTGGTCCACTGAGTGAGTTCCAGGACAGCCAGGGCTACACAGAGAAACCCTGTCTTGAAAAACAAAAAGAAAAAGAAAAAAAAAAAAAGGAAAATGGAGCAAGAAAAGGACTTGAGATCTAAGCAGGCCAACATGAAAAGGTGTGGGTCAGTAGAAGGTCTAGGAGGAAAACTGGGAGGTTTGTGACATAAAAGCTGAAGGAGAAATGCCAAGTGGGAGCGATAGTGAAAGTTAGTGCCTACAGTTCAGAGTGGTGCTGTCTTCACCTGGGAAGGTACAGAGACAAGTTCACAGAATGCAAATGTAACTTGAGTCCCTTGGTGGAAAGGCTGGATTGAGATTTTTCCCTTACTTGGTGCTAGAAGGTCACTGTTTTGGATTGTACTCTAGTGCAAACTCTGCCAAATAAGATCATTTTCAGTCCAGGAGGAATGTGTCCAAACCAGCCCTGTGGTTGAATGATTTCAGCATGAAGCTTTTCAGAAACTAGCAGTGTTAGAACTTCTAAGGAGTTATCATCCAGGCCTGTGTTAAGATACTGACTTTCTGCTTTGTCTTATGTGTGGGCCATTTGGCCATGAGGTGCTTCATTTGGTTTTCCACACAGAGAGAATTCCTTTAGTCAGCCCCCTGATTACTGGCTTTAAGCAAGGGATGAAGACATGATGAAGCCACTAAGGAAAATTTGTGAAGAAAAGGGATTGTTTTCTAATTAGACATAAAATCAAATCCCATATATTTTGAGGAATTGTTATAATAAAATACACATCCACGTAGCCACAATTATAAACCAAAGTTGGAAGTCCCTTATGAACACCTGACCAATGTCCTCAGTGCACCCCTGGGAAAAATCACCACCTGGTAACTTTTATGATGATCACTTCCTTTTGGTGGGCTGGGGGCATTGTCTGCCATTAGGGTTTGTGTATTAGTTTGGTTTAGTACCTGTACACATGGACTGAAAATATAGAAATTCACTTGTATCTCTTTCAGATGATACTGTGTGAGATCCATTCATATTTGTGGCTGTGTCTTTACTCACTTTTATTACCATAGACTATTTCAGTTTAGTCACCCTGTAGTGGATATTTGGGTTATTCCTATATGTGTATGCTGGTATGTACATGCAAAAGTTCCTTTGAGTGTATTTACTCAGAAGTAGAATTGCTGAGTTGTAGATTATAGCTTGTATCTCTAGATTCACTAGATAATTGCAAATATATTTTTCCCTACTGGTAAAAAGTGGAATTTTTACCAAATTAATGAAATGGCCAAAGACATCCCAGACAGGCACACAGACGGAGGCACAAACCAGCATAGTGGCAGGAGTTTGGGGAAGTACCAGAAGCTACAAACCTGATGCCAGACTGTACAGCTGAAGGGACAAGAAAGCTGCATGTTTGGGGAAAGGTGGCTCTGGATCCCCAGTCACAGTGCTAACCCTAAACACAGGTGATTGTCCCATTGCCTACCTGGAATGCTCGAACACAGGAACCTATCACAGACAATGTGGAGAAGTTTGCCATTGAGACAGAGCTTGTGTACAAGTATTCTCCCTTCCACACTGAGGAACAAGTGATGAACCAGTTCATGAAGATTCCTGGGAACAGTGGTGAGTAGGCTTTGGCCCTGCAGCCCAGAGAATGTGGGGGCTCTAAAGCCTCTGGTAATGTGGAGGGTGAGCCAGGGCTGGCTGGCAGAGAGAAAGGATTTCTGTTCCCCAGGAACACTGGTGATCATCTTTAATCTCAAGCTCATGGATAACGGAGAGCCGGAACTAGACATAATCTCAAATCCAAAAGATATCCAGATGGCAGAAACCTCCCCAGAGGGCACGTGAGTATGGCTGGGAAGGGTGGCTGGACCTGGAACTGGTCTTTATTTCCTTAGATGACTTCAGGAAAGATGGAAGAGACACTTTCCTGGCTTTCTCTTGATAGCAGTATTGATAGAGCTGAAAGTCTGAGATTTCCTGTCTGCTTAATAGCAGGACAGTGACTCCTCAGCCAGGCTAAAGCAAAGATTAGTGATTTCCGGTTCTAACTCTTTCATTGACAAGAGAAACTGAGGCCTGGGTCTAGGGGTGGTGAAATTGCAGTGGGCAACGGCCAGGTGAGGTGTCTGTGGGACACCTGTGCTAGGGACATGACAGGGCAGGATGAAGTACCTGTGAGGAGGGACCATTCTCGTCAAAATGGCATGAGAAGCCAGGATGTGAAAGAAATGAAAGGTGAGGAACTGCAGAGAGAAAGCCCATATGTAGCTTTGGGCTTACTGTGGTGTGGATGGCAGGATGTTTCAGTTCCTGCTTTCTCCAGGAAGCCAGAGCGACGCTCCTTCCGAGCCTATGCTGCGGTACTCTATATTGATCCCCGGATGAGGATCTTCATCCATGGGCACAAAGTGCAGACCAAGAGACTCTCCTGCTGTCTATATAAGCCCAGGTAAGGGCCTAGCTACCATGATCTGGACTGGGAAATGGAGCCTAGCCACATTGTTAGGGTGGTGCAATGTGAAGCCTCTAACACTGTTGACTGTACCTGATTACCAGAGAGATACTTCTCTTGAAAGGACAGAAGTGACTGACAGGCTATTGGGTTGGTTGGCCAGGCCAGTTAAGGGAAGTGCCTTCTGAGATGCGGAGAGAGGCACAGGGAGTTGTCTTGTCTCAAGTTTTAGGAGCCTATAGACCCTTTACAGGAAAGGAAAGCCATGGCTTATTACTTAGATTTGTTCCTGCTTTGAGAGTAGATGACGATTCCTGGGAACAGTGGTGAGTAGGCTTTGGCCCTGCAGCCCAGAGGATGTGGGAGCTCTAGAGCCTCTGGCAGTGTGGAGGGTGAGCCAGGGCTGGCTGGCAGGAGAAAGGATTTCTGTTCCTAGGAACACTGGTGATCATCTTTAATCTCTTTAACTTGCTGAACACCAAAGACAAATTGAGTAAGGAATTGAGATTGGATTTGTTACATCACAAGGAGCCAGGGTAACACCACATGGGAGGAGGCAGGGTGCTTCCTGAGCTGCTCAAGTTGGCTACCTGCCCCACTGCTGCTTGGCCTTCAGGTTGCTTTTTCCACTCTTCAGGATGTACAAGTATACATCAAGTCGTTTCAAGACTCGGGCAGAACAGGAAGTGAAGAAAGCAGAGCATGTAGCACGGATTGGTAATGCTACTCCCTGTGTTAGGAGGAGGGATGGAGTTGGGGTCACTGCTTATATCCAAAGCCTGGGGATAAGGCTGTTCTACCTTAATCCACTTCCTCTCTAAGTCTCCCCATATCTAACCTTCACAGTACTTTTCTCCAGACTTGACTCTCTCCTCCCACTATTTCTAGGACTTTATAAAGGGCTGGAGTAGCATTAAACACACCTGTAGAGTCTTATTTTAACAAACATCAACTCTTTGGCTTGACCAGTTGAATATCTTATATTGCATACTGCTTGTCCTGAAGCAGAAATCACAAGGTTTCTCTCCTAGAATAACCATAGTTTTCTTGGTTGGTTGATGAGGGTGATTGTCTAAAGCATTCTTCAGGCTCCAACTCATGCTGATGGTTGAATTCCCATTGACTCTCATAATTCATTTGTAAGCTTGAAAAGCATGTCAGAGTATAAATAATGCTTTCCTTGAGGTTATAATTTTTATTTGAGATAGATTTATTCTCGGTCCCATGTTGGCCTCAAACTGGGTGACCCTCCTGTCTTAGCCTGCCAAGTACTGGAATTAGAGGCATGTACCATCTTGACCATGACAGTTTTGAATGTCAGGTTTTGTTGTTGTTGTCGTCGTTGTTGTTTGGTTTTTTTCTGAAGCAGTTCTTTAGTCCAGGCCCAGAGGAAGCCCATGTGGCCATTGCGCTTCTAGGTAGCCTTTTCCTTGTTAACATATACTCCTTGTGCAGCAGGGACTACTCTGTGGATCAAGGAAGGATGACAGAGTTCTGAACCTTTGATTTCTTTTCTGTTTTAGCTGAAGAGAAGGCCCGGGAGGCAGAGAGCAAAGCTCGGACTTTAGAAGTACGCATGGGTGGAGACCTGACACGGGACTCCAGGGTAAGTCCTTAGGCTCAAGCTCTCTATGGCATATGTGGTATTGGAATCCAGTATTCTGAGTTTGAAGTGTCTGTCTCCTGTAAGGTCACTTTTCTGTAGAAAGAAATAATCTTCAGGTATGTTTTAGCATCTAGGTAATATCAGTGTAAAAATATCATATTACTTCATTTAGCTGAGAGCACCTCCTCCATTCACCTGATGGTGGTACATTTGCAGGTGATGTTGCGGCAGGTCCAGAATACAGCTATCACCCTTCGCAGAGAAGCTGATGTCAAGAAAAGGATCAAGGATGCCAAGCAGCGGTGAGTACTTGAACAGCCCTTTGGTCTTAAAATTGTGTAGCATTTACACAGACAGGTTGCCATTTGGCACCAAGTTTACTTAGAGAAAGCAATCTCTGCTGTTTTCGAAGATGCGGTCAAGTGCTTCTACTGATCTGTGGAAGGCAGGCAGGTTGACACTTGAAACACTAAAGTCACTTCCTTCACACTGTTGTACTTTTCTTATTCTTTTCTGTTAAGGTTGCAAAGAATGCCCATTGTATAAAACTTGAAAAATATAAAATATTTAAGTAAAAAAAAGTGAAACTCCCTTATTCTTCTGAAAATATGTATTTTAACTTTTTTCTGTGCTCATAATTCATTCTCCCTACTGGTTACAAATGTAGAATGATACTGTAGATTGGGTTTTGTGCTGTTTTATTTAGAATGTACTGTTTGTGGTCTCAATCATCATCCTAGTAGCTGTGTATGGAGTGTCTCAGACTCTGGGCCATGACTTCCTAGCTAGACTCCAGGTGGTTTTCTTACCACAGATGGAAGTTTCAGCTTGCTTCACTCCAACTTGTCCCAAAATTTTCTTGACATGTCATGAGTATTTTCTGTATTTTTGTTAAGTTTTTGCCTTTAAAACTATTATATAAGCCAGGTGCAGTGGTGCATGCCTTTAATCCCAGCACTTGGGAGGCAGAGACAGGTGGATCTCTGTGCTGGAGGCTATCCTAGGCTACAGATTGAGTTCCAGGATTCTGTCTTGAAAAACAAGCCAGACTGAACTATTATTGTTATATAATTGGGATTTTGAGGAATGTATGACTATAATGTTATATTTATTCTACCATGTAACTCTCTCTGTAGAGATTTGCAGCAGTTTCATGGTAACCCATTCATACTTAAATCCACTCCTGTTTTGCTACATTAAATTCTGTGTATACACAGAGGGTCATGGAACAGTGCAGATCCTTATCAAGTCTAACATCACATATCGATTGGAGATATAAAACTTTAACATGTCTCAAATTGAACTTAACATACCATTATCACCATGATGTTTTTCTGCAATGAGTTAATATGCTTGATTTTTTTTTTTCTCTCCTTTATTAGAGCACTCAAAGAACCCAAGGAACTGAATTTTGTTTTTGGGGTCAATATTGAACACCGGGACTTAGATGGCATGTTTATCTACAACTGTAGCCGCTTGATCAAGATGTATGAGAAAGTGGGCCCACAGCTGGAAGGGGGCATGTGAGTATCCTAGGAGAGTCTTCCAGCCCTGGTGAGTGGCAGAAGAGTTTTGGCAACAGAGCCGTGAACGCCGTGTCTTTTCAGGGTGTGCAGTGGGGTCGTTGGCACAGAGCCATGACCACCGTGTCTTTTCAGGGCGTGCGGCGGGGTTGTTGGGGTCGTCGATGTGCCCTACTTGGTTCTGGAGCCGACGCATAACAAGCAGGACTTTGCTGATGCGAAGGAGTACCGGCATCTGCTGCGAGCAATGGGGGAGCACTTAGCACAGTACTGGAAGGACATCGCCATTGGTAATGTAGCCAGGCCACCAGACCTCAGCCTATTTTTTATGAGCCCTAAGGTGCTTATGTGGCTTGTGGGGGTGAATTTAGTTAGGAAGAGGACTTTACATTATTACATGCTACAGTTGCTTCCATGGTAATATGTGGGCATTTGTCTTCTAGCCCAGCGTGGGATCATTAAGTTTTGGGATGAGTTTGGCTACCTTTCTGCCAACTGGAACCAACCTCCGTCCAGTGAGCTGCGTTTCAAACGCCGGAGGGCTATGGAAATTCCAACCACGATCCAGTGTGGTGAGTTGAGTGGCAGGAACTCTCTCTAGACTCCTGTCATGATATTCTTGTCTTTAGTCTCAAGCTAGCCTTCTGACGTGACTAACATTCATGAACTTAGGTTCCACGAGGAACAGGATCTGTTGGGCAGTGGCTGTGTGAGCAGTATTGAGGCCCGCTAGTTCCTCCTGTTTCTCCTAGTGAGGTGGACAATTACCACACCTTGGAGACACTTCATATCACAGTTGGGCCAGGTTCAGTAGGTTTGATACCATGTAGGGTTTAGAATGAATAACTGACTGAGCCCAGAGTAAGGAAGAAGTAATAGCATCAAGATCCTATGATTTTTTCAATCCTTGCTGCAATCACTGTCCATAAGATGAATCACTGTTTTCTAATAATAGCTAAAAGAGGTCAAAAGTCAAGGACATCTTTGCCTTGAGCCTAGCTGTGAGGAGCCAAGATTCCAGTAATTGTTGACAGTATGGCTGACCTGTTGAGAGGGGTATTTTTCTCTTGCAGATTTGTGTCTGAAATGGAGGACTCTCCCCTTCCAACTGAGTTCAGTAGAAAAAGATTACCCTGATACTTGGGTTTGCTCCATGAACCCTGATCCTGAGCAGGACCGGTGAGCCTTTCTTTAACAAAGATTGTGGGTATTCTTCCCTCCCTGTGGCAGTTTTCTTTCTGTTGCTGTGATAGACATCAGGACCAAAAGCAGTTTAGCTACACTTCCAAGCATAGTCTATCGTTTAGAGAAGTCAGGCAGGAGTTCAAGAAGTACCTTGAAGTAGAACCATGAAGAAACACTATGTACTGGGTCAGTAACTCAGGCTCATGCTTGGCCAGCTTTCTTATAGATCCCGACCACCTGCCTAGGGATATTATCTATCCACAGTGGACTGGACCCTTCTACATCAATTAACAAGGCAGTCCTCCATAGGCATGACATGCCCACAGGCCAATCTGATCTAGGCAGTTCCTCAATCCAGGCTTTTGTCAAGTCTATAATTAAAGCTAACTGGGGCATAAACCATACCTGCCACTGTTCCTTCCATTCTTGGGGTATTCTTTGAGGTCATTGTTTTCATAGCCTCACATCTCTGGCTGCTGCACATGGCATATTTCCAAGAAGGAAGAGTAAATGTGTCCTGTAACACCTACCATTTTTATGAATTGAAAGCTCTGTGGCAGTTGCAGGACAGCAAATCTCTGCCCTGTTGGAGCCTTGTTTTGCTACCAGTCTCTTCTTTTCACAGCTGTGAAGCTTCTGAACAGAAGCAAAAGGTTCCCTTGGGGACATTAAAAAAGGACCCAAAGACACAGGAAGAAAAGCAGAAGCAGCTGACAGAGAAAATTCGCCAGCAGCAGGAAAAGCTAGAAGCTCTTCAGGTATGTGCTCATGGGCAAGTGGACACAGCCAACCTGTGTCAGCAGTCTGTCTAGGAGGAGTCTTTGCTGACTTTTCTATCTCTTCTATTCCCTGTGTGTTCCCACCAAGTTTTTTCAACCCTGAATTCTTAGTCCAAACACTTCCAGTACACCCCGTTAATTATTTAGATAATAAACCATTTTTTTTATATATTCAAAGTTTATATATTCAGTGTATTTAGAATATATAAGCATTCCAAAAAATAAATATACTATTATAAAAGAAATCACCATTAACTCAGTAGTTTTATAATTTTTCCTCTCTCCTCTCCTCCTCAACCCCCCCTCCGTCTCCACTCCCCCAAGAACAGGAATTAACTTAGAGCTTTGTATGTATTAGGCAGGCACTACTACTGAGTTAAATCTCTCACCCTTTTCTTGCTTTTTCATGTGTTTTTTTCTTGATACAGTGGCTCACTGAGATGAACTTAAGTCCAGAGAACTTAAGTCTCTCTGGAGTAGCTAGGATCACCAGAAGATTCTTTCCAATTTTGCATAAATACCTAAAAATAAAAATTTCTATAGTTTTTAATAGTCATAGGAAAGCATTTGTATTTAATATATGTATATGTTATTTTTGGTATATAATAATTTCTTGATAATTTATAAAATTGGAAAAGAATCTGCAAAATATTAAGGCTTTTAAAAGGTTCTTTCTCAAGCCGGGTGTGGTGGCACACTCATTTAATCCCATTACTTGGGAGGCAGGCAGATCTTTGAGAACATCAAGGGCTACACAGAAAAACCTTGTCTTGAGAAAACAAAAAAGAACCAACCAAACAAGAAAAATCTTCTTAAATTGTCTTGCAGAAGATGTATTATTTGTATCATTTTGCATTTTTTACCAGTGTTTAGAAAAGTAAGCAAATATTAATTTTAATATTTATTTGTTTATTTTTGGTTTTTCAAGACAGGGTTTCTCTGTGTAATAGCCTTGGCTGTCTAGGAACTTTGTAGACTAGGCTGGCCTTTAGCTCACAGAGATCCACCTGCCTCTGCCTCCTAAATGCTGGGATTAAAGGGGGGGGATACCACTATCTGGCTAATTTTTATTTTTTAAGGTTGATCAAATTTTCATGTGTATTTAAATGTTTTCAGTATTTCATGATTTCATGTTTTTTAATGATTTATTTTTATTATTTTAAAATCATATGTGTGTGTGCTCATGTGCACATGTATGAGGAATTTGAGTGCAGGTACTTGTGTATTCCTGAAGAGAGCATCACATCCTTGTTGCAAATGATGGGACCTGAACTCTGGTGCCCTACAAGACTAATCTACACTCTTAACCAATGAGCCATCTCTACAGCCTCCAATTTCATATTTGTTACAAAAGCAATTTTCTTTCTTCTCTGCACAGTGCACTATACTTGGGAGCTGGAAATGTCATAAGCGTGTTAATCCCATCCAGTTTCCTGGCCTCATGACAACTTTTCTTTACCAGTCCTTTCCCACCTTTTTGGTTTCTTTTTTTAGAAATTTTGAAGAATCAATCACATAGGTACTCTGTGTGTGTGTATTGTCTTTCTAGTGATAATAAAAAACTTGCAGAAATAGAACTGATCACTGTCCCAGGCACATAGTGAGGATCCAAAAAGGTATTATTTCATTATACCAAGATATACAATTTGATTGTTATATTTGTTTTTGCAGAAAACCACGCCCATCCGGTCACAAGCTGACCTAAAGAAATTGCCCTTAGAAGTGACTACAAGACCTTCTACTGAAGTAAAGCCCAGGGACATATGGGAGGTGGGGCTCTTCTGGTGTCAAAGCTTGAGTCAATGTTCTCACTGTCTGTGGGCCTTTTTTAGGAACCTGTACGGAGACCTCAGCGTCCTCGGTCACCTCCTTTACCTGCAGTGATCAAGAATGCTCCTAGCAGACCCCCTTCTATTCAAACTCCCAAACCAACTACCCAGCTCCGAAAGATGACTTTTATCAGCCCTCCAAAACCACCTACTACAGCAGCCCGAGGAGAAACTAGTACTTCCAGGCTACTCCCATCAGCTGAAGCCCCTCGAAAGCCTGCAAACCCTCCTATCAAGACTGTCCCCCGACCCACCCCTCCTGTGCAGACTCCCTCACCATCTCTAATTCCCAATTCCAAGAACCTTCGGGAGGTCCCTGCTCAAAAAGCCATCAAAACTCCAGTGGTCAAGAAGCCAGAGCCACCTGTTAAACAGTCCATGGTGAGATGATTTCCCTCCTCTATGTTCCACATTAGCAGTGCTGTAGGAAAAAAAGGTTACACTGGGGGAATCCAGGATCACTGAATCTTAAAGCTTTTATGATGCCCCTGAAAAAAAGGAGTCTACATAGCTGAAGAGACTTGCTCAGAACTAACAGCAAGTTTTTTACCCAGGGAGCTTTTTTCACTCAGCACACCCAACCTTGGTATGCTACAAACTTGAGTTGGCTTCTCATGGTGTGGATATAGTTTGTTAACTTGATGACAGATGGCTTTGTTAGGTTATGATAGTAGTCATTGTGTGTCAAGGAGGTCTCAGCTGGCTGGCAAGCAGGGAGTAAACTGAGAGGCTTCTCCTGTGATAGTTTGTGGTCAGACCAGGGGGTTGTGTGTACTGAGTGATTCCAAGTGGGGATTGACATAGCTCTTCTGAATAGTTCCTTTAGGCTACATATAATCTTCACACATCTTGGGAAGTGAACATGGTCAATTTATACTTCTACTCTTCTACTCTAGGCAACCTCAGGCCGGAAGCGGAGTCTTGCAGTCTCAGATGAAGAAGAGGCTGAAGAAGAAGCTGAAAAGAGGAAAGAGAGATGCAAGCGGGGCAAACTTGCTGTGAAGGAGGAAAAGAAGGAAGCAAATGAGGTGGGTAGTTACATGAAGTTCACAAGGATTGCCTCCCTGGGGCCTGTGCCAGCTCCCACTGTGTTAATGACTTGAGGTTTTGAGTCTACTTGAACTTCGCAAGGACTCTTTTTACCCAGATGATTAGAACTATGGGCCAGGTAGGACCTGAGACTCATCTGAATGACAGGCCACTATACACTTGTGTACATCTAGATGCCCAGAATCACCTCAGATGCATGGCTTGCCTGCTGTTTTGTTTATAAAGTTGGCAGAAGGGTAGATACCTGAGACAGCATAAGACATGTTATAGCTGATGACTATGGGTAGCCAGTTACACAAAAGTCTACTTTTTAGGGGCCATTGAAGAAACCTCTAATAGACTGTTCTCCTTGCAGCTCTCAGACAGTGCTGGGGAAGATGACCCAGCTGAACTCAAGAAGGCTCAGAAAGGCAAGTTTGGGGAGATCCCTGTCAGGCTGTGGTGGAGATGGAAATAGAACCTTCACTGTCAGCAGAGTCCTCCTGAAAGCTAGCAGTTCCCTGGGCTTGGGCTCTATCCCACACTTGGTCCAGTTGTCCCTTCGGGGTTTTTTGGTTTCATTTGTGGTTCTGAGATTTTTGAGCAGGTATTTATTATATAGTCCAGTTTGGCCTTGAACTTATAATCCTCTGGATCAATGTCCAGGTGCTGAGATTAAAGGGATGAGCTACAATGCCTGGCTTATTTTTGTTTGTGTGTTTTATGTTTTTGTTCATTTTGATACTAATTCTTTGGTGTTTTCCCTTGGCAAGTCATCCTGTGTCTTGGCTCCATGACAGGCAGAAGAATCAGCATTACTAGTCCTAGAGGAGGTGGGAGCACTGAGACAGTTCTCTGACTGTCACTTGTGTCTGAATTCTCAGATAAAGGACTGCATGTAGAGGTCCGTGTGAACCGGGAGTGGTACACAGGCCGTGTCACAGCTGTGGAGATGGGCAAGAGTGTGGTTCGATGGAAAGTGAAGTTTGACTATGTACCCACAGACACAACACCAAGAGACCGCTGGTAATGCCCTCTTCTGGGAGATCAGAATAGCAGAAGTCAGCTAGGGCAAAGAGAGGAGGTACCCCTGTGTCCCCTCCTGGTAGCCTTTTAGGACAGACATGATACGCTCTGTGTCCCCGTAGGGTGGAGAAAGGCAGTGAAGATGTACGACTGATGAAGCCACCTTCCCCAGAGCATCAGAGCCCTGACACGCAGCAAGAAGGTGGAGAGGAGGAGGAGGCTATGGTGGCCCAGCAGGCTGTGGCCTTGCCAGAGCCTTCCACCTCTGATTGTCTTCCCATTGAGCCTGACACCACTGCCACCAGTACCAGCCATGAGACTATTGACCTCCTGGTCCAGATTCTTCGGTGTGTGTTTCTTTATCTTTTTCCTTAGGGCTGACAATAATTCTTTACTCTTTCCATGTTATTCTGAGTTCCAGTCCCTCTCTTCCTACTTAGGAATTGCTTGCGGTATTTCTTGCCTCCAAGTTTCCCCATCTCCAAGAAGGAGCTGAGTGTTATGAGTTCAGAAGAACTAATATCTTTTCCTCTGGTGAGTCTGGCCAAACTTTTGCTTTTTACACCTAGGTGCCTGCACATGCTTATTATCACCGTCTCATCAGCTTCCCTTCTCACTGAGAGAAGACCTGAGTAGATAGGACTGATGTGCAGAAAAGAAGGACAGCTTCACCCCTTGAGACTCCTTTACAGATTTAGGACAAATGTACCTGCCTCTCACCCCTCCCCTTTTTTCCCTCAAACCTGCCCTAGGTAACTTTAATGGCATTAGACTCACTGTACCTAAAACACAAGACTTGGAGAGAGGTAAAGAGAGACTAGTGCCATGGAGAGATGAGCTTGAGGACCCTGGTAGCTCAGTGGACTTCCTGCTTCCACCATCTTAAAGACTTGCTGGAGGTGGAGTTGGTGCTTCTAGGTCTCTGGCCATGAGGCTGAGAGAAATGTTGATGAGAGGCAGTGCCAAGAGAGTCTTGGCAGATTGGGTAGAGAAGGAAAACCCTTACCGAAAAACCTAACCAAACAATCATACAAAACTCAACTAGGGCTTCAAGTGCAGGGGACTCTGAAGTGGGGCAGGAGGCTTTTGTGAGCAGTGATAGGGTGAAAGGGTTAGAAGTACTTGAGCATCAGTCTAAGCCTCATTACTATATAGGAAATGGAGCTGAAGGAATTGTTGATCTGAACTATGCTGCGGGCTAGATAGCAAATAATAGGATTGTAGGTTGTGTAGTGTCTGATAACTACGTAGCTCTGTAATTATAGCACGAAAGTAGCCAGAGGCAGTCCATCAAGGAATAGCTTTACTTACAGAAACATGCAATAAACTGATTGTCTGCTGCCCTTGCCTTTACGGGGACACGAGACCCACCACACTCTTGTCACACAATAAGCCCAGCCCAGGCTTTGGCTTTTACCCTTGTTTAGACCAGGTTCTCCAGAGACTCTAGGAGAACAGACATCTTCTTGCAGTTTGATTTGTTACCTTTGGCATCAAATCATGAAATTCAAAGCAAAAGCCAGGGCACAGCAGAACCTCAGCAGTAGGCACTGTCACTCAGCCCAAAACAGTCTGTTTTGGGACTGTCCAAGTCTAAAAATAATATCTAGCTTGTTTTTGCAAAAGTGTTTGCAAGTACTAGGGCACAACTTTGTCTTCTAGTTGCAATTGCTAAAACCAATGTTTCAATTATGTTAATTTTTGTCCTTATTGGTGTGTAAATAGTACTCACAATTAAAAGTTTAATATAATTGCCTTTAAGATATTCATTTGAATTTGACTTAAAATTTATTTTGTGCAACCAAGGTATTTATTTTTATGTAGAATGTTGTTTCTCTTGCTATCATGGTGTGAGATGGTAGTCTAGACACAAACATAGCAGTCAGAAGCCTCTCAGTGCAGCAGCTTATGCAACCACCATAGAAGCAGATGAGTACTGGTACAGTTTAGACTTCAGTGGGCAGCAGGGCCTGTGGTTGATTTGTCCATGAAGATGATTCCTTTTATCGGTACAATCAGACTGTACAGGGATACTATGTAGATTGTTTTAACTACTTCATAGGTAAAGGCTCTGTTGCTGTACAACTATTTACTATATAAGTCTGGGGATATTTGCTGTTGGTAAGTGCTTGGTAGCTCTTTGGTCCTAACACTCTTAGTTATGGCAGTCTTATTTTGGAGCTAGAAAGGTGTGCTTGAACTGGAATGACCCCACAGTCTTTTTTGTCTTTTTTTTTTTTTCCATGTGTAAAGGTAAGACTTCTCCTTTATTAAGCACTTGGCTGAGTTGCATGTGTCTTCATCCTCATGTGATCCCTAAAGGACTGTCACTAAGGTCTCTTTATCCTGGTTTTAGAAGGTTGCTTTCCCCTTGTAGTGAAATAAAACCAAGCGTCCTGTGAACTCATTGCCTCCCCCCACCCCCCACCCCCTGCACCTCTCCCCTCGTACCCCTCTGTTTCCTTCCACAGAAAGAATACTTCAAGCAGTATGAGGTGGGGCTCCAGAATCTGTGTCATTCCTACCAAAGCCGTGCTGATTCACGGGCAAAAGCCTCAGAGGAGAGCTTACGCACATCGGAGAAAAAGCTTCGTGAGACAGAGGAGAAGTTACAGAAGTTGAGGACCAACATTGTAGCTCTCCTGCAAAAAGTGCAGGAGGTGAGCCTGAAAGCCCTCTCAGGAACTAGACCAACTGGTCTCAGGGGTGGGACTGAACTTCTCACAGGACTCAACTGCTCACAGGAATCTTTGTTTCCAACCCTGGCTGCTCAGAGTCCTGACCAGAGAGCTTGAAGCTAGAGTTGCCTGGGCCTTGTCTCAACCAGACCCCCAGGCAGTATAGTTTTTTGAGAATCCTTTAAGCCATAAGCAGAATTCTTATCTAAATGATACCCCAGATGTGCTTGAGTAGAAGTGGGACATTGCCCTTAGGGATGTGGTATATATTTTTTTCTACACAATAGACACTGAGAACCTGATTGCTCTCTGGGGACAGGCTGGTGAAGGAGCTGGAGCTATTAATGGGGTAGTACTGTGAAATAAATAATGAGGGACAGAATCCTGGGGAAGCCACCTGACTAGGGTAGAGATACTTGCATTAATACTGGGAGCTCACTGAGCTGTAGTAGGGAATTGTGGACTGGAGGAGAAGTAGGAGACCTCTAAGTATGTGGCTTGAGCCCAAGAGCAGAAAGTCACAAGGGATGTGGCATAGTCCAATTTTTATAAGACACTAATTAGTTTGAAGGTGTGCAGGTTAGAACCAGGAAACCTGATAAGAAAGCTCCCATACTTTTTTGGGAATGGAGATTTAACTGAGATTTTGAAGTAGGGCAGGAGCAAAAAACAGAAGCTGACAGCTGGGAGAAGATAACAGGATTCTGGTGCAGCCCTGTTTTCCAGCCTGTTTTGCTGCCCCATCTGACTCCCACCCCACTCTGTTCCAGGACATAGACATCAACACAGATGATGAGCTGGATGCCTACATTGAGGACCTCATCACCAAAGGGGACTGAGGAGCTGGGAGTAAGATCAACTCCTTCACACACTGCCCCTCAACACAGCAGCTTCTGGGGAGGGGAATTTCATTTGTGAGTTGGTGGACTTAATCTTGGTTTGAGTCATGTGAGACATTTGTGCTTTGGGAAGGAGATTCTTTGAATCTTCTTCCCTAAGTTTACATAAATATTTATTTTTTAAAAGAGAAGATGTTAATGCCTGCTGTGAGACCGTACTTTTTTTGTGTGACTCTTGAAAGGGCACAGAGTCTGAGCCATTCAGCTCCTGGCACCTCAAGATAGGATGAAGAAAGCACCATCCTGAAGTTGGAGAGGCTCCAAGGGCATCAACAATGGGATATGAAAGATACATGACTCAGCTCTGCAAGACCCTCAAGGGGTGATCAAAACAGGCCCAGTATCAGAAAGACTCTCCCTGTAACAGATCTCCTGGTATCCACTCAGGGCTGTGAAGGTCTGTAGGTTACCTGAGCAGCTGTCAGTCATCTTGGATGTGGCAGTATCCAGACAACTTGGAGATGTTTCTTAATGCACAAATTTCCCAATGCACCACCTACTTTGTTACTGGAGGAGCCATTTCCTGAGTCAACCACACTATCCAAGCTCAAGCATAGACAGCTCTGACGGGTCGGATCTCTGGGCTGGATAGCACTCTGAATGTTGAACTCCAAAGATTCTCAGGGTGTGCAGGTGTGAAAGAGCTCTCTGGAGGAGATGGCTTCCTCAGTGGTGCTAGTTCCTGGAGAGCCTTTGCTGCTGCTTTTCTACTATGTACTCTCTGGGCTCCAGAGAGCCCTGCACCTCCCATGCTCTGGAAGTGAGGAGGAGGGACCATGTGCTTCAGACAACTACTCAGAGCCACAAAGGCAAGAGCTTCATCTGATGGCTGTTGGAAGAATTCTGGTTCCAGTCTCAACTCTTCACACTCCTGTTCAAGACTGATTTTGTACTCTTGATCCAAACCACCTTGGGATTTATATCCATCAAGGCAAGGCTGCCACCTTGTGTCCTGTGATCTCTGCAGAAGATGGGGAGGTGGTGGTGAGGGAACTGTGCACATATGGCTGGGAGTGCCTACTTGAGTTCTGCCATCAGGTTGTTTAGGGGGAATAGCATTCAGAAGTTCTTCTCTTGAACATTCTCCAATAGATGGGTTTTCTGAGTTGGTGCACTTACCCCTACCACCCCCCCAATCCAACTTTCTGTCAACCCTATCCAGGCAGGGTATGGTCCATTTTTGTCCGTAAACCCACTGTTTAAAGGAAATTGGCCCTGCATTTTTGTTGGCAGGTAATACTCATTTTGATTTTTTTTTTTTTTTACTTACACATGTAATCAAAATGTGTTACTATAAATTTCTACTGGTGAGACTCCTGCGTTCAGTACATTCTTATGTGAAACACAAGACCTTTCTCTTCATTCTGTTATATCCCCACTGTTTGTTTTTAGCCTCACTTCCTTAATACCCACAGACACAGAAAATCTGCATTTCCTAGATGTTTTAGCTTTAACTTTTCTGGATGTGCTAAACCTGGCCTTAACTTTTTTGAGTGTTGGGTCTTTCCTGGGAACATCATGGAAGAGCTGACTGGTACTTCTTGATGATAAGGCATTCACTGGCTCTAAAGGAGAAGGGTGGGGTTTAAGATGCTAAGTACCGGTGGACATGGTAAGAATTCAAATACTACAAAAGGCTGAACATGAAAAATAAGGCTCTCTTCTACCTGATTGCTAAGTTCTCCCTGGAGATCAGAGTATTCATCTCGGGCATCCAGCTACACATCTCCCCTCTTGGGTTTCCTTCCAATTGCCAAGAGCATCGTATTGTCTAAGAATGGCCAGTATGGGTCTACTTTGTTCTGAACCATCACAGGGCATTTCATTATCTTGGATGTGTTGTCATGAAACTATATAAATACTTAACAATTCTAACATCTGTGAAGAAAGGTGTGATATGTGTGTACGTTTATCCACTACATTTGTATAGAGGGTAAGTTCCAGAAAGGACTATCAGATACATTCTCATTCTGCTCCCAGCAACTTTGTTTCAACTCATTAACTGTAGGTATCACCAATCCTAACTTTTCACTATTAGTAAAAGGGATTTTTCACATAACTGAGCATTTTCATTGGCTTGCCTAGGTTTATGGTGGTGTTCGTACAGAGGTGTGTTCAGTTCCGAATCTAGAACTCTAGGGATCTTTTTGTAGGTCATGAGTTTGCAAAATCCTCAGGAAAATAAATAGGATTTAGGGGTTCTAACTCTATTAAGGAGTAAAATGCTGTCTACCACCAGATAAAGATAAGGATTAGTACAGGCTGCTTTCTGCTTGTCATCTCTAGGAAAGACGCGGCTTTTTATCTTACAGGTTCATGTTTCCCAAGGCTGCATGATGTTCAGATACAGTGGCTGCACCTTTAGGGATCAGTAATGTGTTAAGTCTGATAAAATCCCACACTTGCTGTTTACACAGAACTCAGATTTAGCCTGAGTGTTTTGTGCCTGCACTGGCTACTTGACCCCTATTGGGAAGATCATCCAAAAGGGTAGGATGAGCCTAAAACATCCTAAGAATTCTGCTGCAAGGAGATGAAACTGCAGGGACTCCGTGTTCAACAGCTACATGGTACTTGCTTCTCAGAGCACTTGCAGAGCCAGCTTGACCCAGGTACCAGTTCCCCTCCACTGCTTGACTGTTTCTATGGTGAACAGGGATGGTAAGGCAAGGTGTTGCCATGCCTACACTTCAGTCAGTCTTGCCATTTTCAGTAATCTGCCAGGTGCCAGGGCCACTGCTGGGCTCAGCAGAAACTTGCTTCTTGCTTGGAAGGCAAACAAGTCACTACTCTGGCCCCTTGCTCCTCTAAAGGGCTTGCATGGCAGATCTTCCATTTTTGTAAGCCACAAGGCAGGTTCCCACATGAAAATTAGTGCTTCTAAAAAGTCTGGAGGGTGTGTATGTGTATAACCTCTTGCTGTCTTGATCCATTTTTTTTGTTGTTGTTGTTTTTTTTTGTTTTTCGAGACAGGGTTTCTCTGTGTAGCCCTGGTTGTCCTGGAACTCACTCTGTAGACCAGGCTGGCCTCGAACTCAGAAATCCGCCTGCCTCTGCCTCCCAAGTGCTGGGATTAAAGGTGTGTGCCACCACTGCCCGGCTTTGATCCCAATTTTTTGCTTTCAGTATTCTCTGCACTCCACCTGTTACCTATAGGCCTTCAGTTGTTTACTGAGTGGACCATAAAGGGTCATGCTTTTCCCAGGACTGCTGTCATGACCATCTATTTTGTCAGCTTCATCAGTGTCCCAAAGGTAGAGCTGGGCTTCCATTCAGCTTCTGCAGACTTTTCTTTTTTTTTTTTTTTTGGTTTTTGGTTTTTCAAGACAGGGTTTCTCTGTGTAGCCCTGGCTGTCCTGGAACTCACTCTGTAGACCAGGCTGGCCTCGAACTCAGAAATCCGCCTGCCTCTGCCTCCCAAGTGCTGGGATTAAAGGCATGCGCCACCACTGCCCAGCTCTGCAGACTTTTCTTAGGACTCTCATCCTCAGCAGTTGTCAGCTAATATTTGGGGGGTGGGAGGGCATCTGCCCTTGAGGGCAAGAACACTGCAAACACAGGTCCTTTGGACCTTCCTGGCATGCTACTAGGATTCTTAGGGTCCCTGGCAGCCCCCCTTTCTTTTGAAGTTGTGGCCATGTCTACTCAGTTACTCTGACTAGCTGTCCCTCCTTCCTGCCCTTAAGCTGTAGGTTCTCAGTGCCTCTCCCAGATGTCTCACCAGTTGTGAGACTTGGGGTGCTTCGGTTGACACTGGAGAGGAGCCTAGCAGTCTAAGGAGGTAACTAATGTTCAGTCCTTTAGGGCACTGGCCTTCCAACTGGCCAATGGTAGTGGTGTGAAGAGTGCACCACCCCTAATCCAGACAGCACTTGCTCAGAGTTGCACAGATGATATCACACAGGAAGGTTGCTCTGAAGGACTCATCAAAACCTGGGGTTATCTTAGTGGTGAGCAAAGGTCAAAGATTTATTTTTATGAGTATGAATGTTTTGCATTCCTGTATGCCTGTGCATCACTTAAGTGTGTGGTGCCCTCAGAAGCCAGAAGAGGACATTGAAATGAGTTCAGACATTTGTGAGCCTTGTGTAGGTGCTGAAAACCAGCCTGAGCCCTGTCTAAGAGTAGCAGAAGCTCTTAACTGTGGCGCCATGGCTCTGGCCTCCAGTTTTTTCAACTTGTTAGGGAGGATCACTCCAAGTGACAGTTTGCACAGACACCCTTCTGTCTGGAAGCCCTTGTTTCTGCAAGGTGGAGGACATGGGAAGGGCCTACATGTGTTCAGTGTGTCTTGAAGGGTCGGTCAGCCTGTGTGTAGGCTTACCAGCCTTTGTGTGGGCCAAGTACCTGAGATCTCTTGTATTCACAACACAAATAAGTCTGTTTAGCTCCATTTGGGTGACTTTGAAAGGTAAACTTGTTGTTTTGTTCTCTGTCGCCATGGCTGTTCTAGAACTTCCATTGCTGACCAGGCTGGCCTCTAACAAGAGATCCTTATGCCTCTGCCTTACTGGTACTAGGATTAAAGACCTGCACCACCACACCTGACTAAACCTAAATATTTTTAGGTTTGGGGTTTTCCTAACCTACTGAGGAAAAACACTTTCTTCCCAACCTTGCCTCCACAAACACCCATTTTATTGAAATGATTATTTTTATTTAAATCAGCCTCCGTGAAACTATTTTGGTATAAACAGTAAAGGTTAGCATCAAGATTTTTCTCCTAGGAGGAAATAGGTTAGGCATTAAATTTAAATATGTTTTGAGATTGTTGACATTTTTATATTAGTAAGTTCCTAAAAAGATACAAATGGTTTCCCAGTTTATAATTTTTAGGGGTTTGAGATGGCTCATTGGTTAAGAGCTGTTCTTCCTTTTCCAGAGCTGGGTTCCCAGCACTCAAGTCAGCTGGCTGACACTTGCCTGTTAACTAACTCCAGGGGATCTGATGCCCTCTTCTGGCCTCTGGACCATGCACATGAACTTTTTAAAATCTGGTGAAAAGATGTTTTAGATTATCAAGTAGGGCCGGGTGGTAGTAGCGCACACCTTTAATCCCAGCCATTGGGAGGCAGAGGCAGGCGGATTTCTGAGTTCAAGGCCAGCCTGGTCTACAGAGTGAGTTCCAGGACAGCCAGGGCTATACAGAGAAACCCTGTCTCGAAAAACCAAAAAAAAAAAAAAAAAAAAAAAGAGAGAGAGAGAGAGAGAGAGAAAAAGATTATCCAGTTGGGTTTTATAATTTCCGTGCAAGGGTTCTACAATTTTCTAACTAAATAAGCCTTTTTAATTTCTTCACACAGCTTTAATAGGTTTCTGACTAGAGTTATTTCCTCTTTACTACTTTTGTCACTATTCCAGTGGGATACCTTTCCCTGTATCTAGTACTTACTAGCTGTTAATATGAAGAAAAGCCAGGAATACTCGAGTATATGTAATTTATTTTTATTTTATGAACTGATATTTGTGAAAGCTTGTTTTTAAGGTCTTTGCTCAAGCACTCTACTACCAGCCACCAGCTCCCCTGTTTTTTAAACACTTTTTGTTTGGAAACAGTGTAAGTTTCCAAGCAGGCCTTGAATTTGAGATCCTCTGCTTATGTCTTTTCAGAATCTAGGATTATAGGCTTGGGTTTCTTCCTGACTAGACCTACTTCTATGTGTGGGGTGTGGGTGTGTGTTTCATTAGGGTTGTTTACAGGAGTGTGGGCACCTTACCAGTGGTTGGTTATAACACTGAAGAAAATCTCTCTCCCCACCAGCCATTAATTCCTTATAAATCTTCAGAGGGCAGTGGATTCCCATAAACTATCCTTCCGTTTCCAGGAGAGGGTATTGATAACCCCAATCTTGTGAAGATCGTGTGCAGGTCATTACAGCTATTGCAACAGCCATGAAATGTCCTCTCATGCATGCCCCCTTCCTGGCTCTAAAATTCTGCCAGATGTCCCATTTATGTCTGAGAATTCAACAGTCATTTATTCTCAATACTTTGATTAGTTAAAAGTATTGCTTCTGGGACCAATTATTGATGACTACTACAAAAAGAATCTTCTCTGACCATAGCCGATTAATTTAAAGGCAGCTAGATAGTCATACCATGTCCATCTAGCAATTGCTTCCCCACTAGAGCCAGGACTTCTAGGACTACAGGCTTTTGACTGGTTTACAGTACCAAATATAAATTCTCTTTGTGGGGTGAGCCTTAGATCTGATCAGAGAGCAATTAATATCCCCATAACAAACCTGCCACTACTGCACCTGTGGGCACATCTTGCCCAGCTGGTCAATAGTATTGCTTACAGAGTCCACAGCTGAATAAAATTGTTGCTGGGAATTCTACAGCAGCCTGTGTAGAGGCTAGAACGGTCTTTTGAGGTATTAAAAACCTTTGGCTAGGCTCCCTGGCTCAGTAACATGTCTGAATATATTCCTCATATCCTTTCCAGCTCCTGATTGTGTTTAAGATTTAAAACGTCGGGGCTGGAGAGAGGGCATAGTGGCTAAGAGCATGGCTATTCTCTCAGAAAACCTGTGCATCCCAGCACCCATTGTGGTGGCTCGCAACTATCTGTAGCTCCAGTTCCAGAGGATCAAACACCCTCTTCTGGCCTCCATGAGTACTGTATGCATGTAATGCACAGACACATGCAGCAAAAAGTTCATACACACAAATCTTTGAAAAGGAATCTTAGTTGCTGTTATCCTGTAGGTTGTTTGAAAGTTGTCTGTCTCGAATCAATCTCCCTTCTCTCCGTGTCACTTCTTTCCTATACAGATGATTTTTTAGATACCTATCCTAATCTGTCAGGTGTCCTGTAGTTTGGGGGAAATCAGGAGTTTCCTGGGTCATTGCATGCAGCTCTTCCCCAGCTCATCTCTAAGG